CACCACCTGCTTGCAGCTGATTCTACTCTAGACTTTCTGACATTTCTTTTGTGAATTTATCCGCAAAAGGCATTTTTTTTTTAAATGGAACGGTGATACTGCATATTGTTTATGTTAAAAATCAGCCAACGTGTACGTGCCCATGGGCTGATAAAACCATATAGGTCAGTGCAGATCCTTCCATTACTTTCACTTGGCTTTGGATCCGACTCTGCAGTTATGAATCAGTCTATCAGGAAAAGAAGATGATATAATTTAAGAGTAAATTGCTAAACATGTTGCAGGCCATCTTGAGGAATTCTGGGAATTTGTTTGTATGTCTGAAAGACTCTTGAGATTTTTTTTTCTGCTGTGTTGCAAGCTCAATAAAGAAGCGTACACTGTCCTGTAAACCACTGCCGTGTTTTAATTCCCCTTTTTTGCTATGACACTCTTGCCAGAGCAGATAACTGGGGAAAAATAAAGTCTGATTGTGGGGCATAGGCATATATTTGCCATCCTGTAGCTAAAGACCTGCAGTAGCCAAGGAGGAACCTAACTTCTTGTTGATTTTTTTTCACCATTCTGTGCTAAGCCCCCATAACAGCAGCAGTCCTGAATCATACCTTGCTTCGCCTAACTAATAGCATCCATGATGCTATTGTCAAGGCATGTATGATTCCTTGTTTCCTTTTTGGCTGGTAGAAGGAGAATGAATACTGAGGAAATAGCATGGGTTGCCTCACACCTTAAATGTGAGTATTACGTGACTCGAACTAGTTTGAGCCTCCTGCCAGGGCAGCTTCAGGCCAATTCTCTAAAACAGCTGTGCTTTGGATGGGAGCTTTGCCTTTCTTGTTCTCTTTGCAGTGGCCGATCTGTAAAATAGCAGCTACTTAATGCTTCCAAGGATGTTTAAAATATGGTACATTAATGAAAGTATGGGGAAAAAAAAAGCCAGTGTCATTATTCATTGTTGTCCAGAACTGTCACTGTCTTAAGCAGACCCTTACCTTTGCACATAGCTTCATGTGCAGTTAATAACTTTTCGTAAGAAAAGGTGATTTTCTTTTTAAACTCTAGCATGACACGCTTTGACACACTTTCCCAGCATATGCTTCTATCCAAGCTAGTTGGTGGTTTGTGGGGATTATATTAGTTTCTAGGTAAACCTTTTTCTTATCAGCACTTTCATATCCTTATATTCATTTCCAATGACTGTCATCAAGAGTGTCTTAACTACAAGAAAAAAAAAATCACTGTAAATTTCAGTGCTGTTCTCCTGAAGAGTAAAATCGTGGTACTTGTTTATGTTCATTCAGTGCGAGGTCACTGCAGAAGGCAGTAAATGGTCTCCGTTAACGGGTGGCGTTCTGCCTACTACAGTACCTTGCAGCCCTTGGGCTGGAAGAGACGGTCTCTACTTTGTGCGTGAAGTAGAAGGCCAAAACAGCTTTTGAACTCATATTTGTTTGGCTTCTTCCAATTACTTATTTTTCTGAAACTGCATATCTTATCTTTGACTTTCTGTGTATTGACCAATCGGATTTGTGACTTTCAATCTCCAAGTCTGATGCAATAAAATTATCTGTGTAGCACTGAGGAAGATCCTGGATGGTTTGCAGAAATATCAAATAAAAATATTTTCCTGTCACTGAAATGTGTACCTGTTAAGAGAGAACTCAGTAGGCTTTCAGGTTTTTAAGTTTCTTTTAGAGCTGTTTTTTGTGGTTTATGAGTTAAAAGATGTCATTTCCGTTAGGTCTTAAAATTTATCTTGGCATCTACAGGAAGTGATATTCTGCCTATGCTTTTACTTTGACATTTCCTGCTTTGGTTTCAAAAAGTGTATGTGTGTGTATATGTGCGTACTGCTTGTTTTATAAAGAAAGGTGTTACTTCTGAATGGTTATGGAGCATCCTGAAGGAAGTGGTCGTTGCATAAATATCATCTGTGATCTCAGCAGAAAGATTTTGTATTTGGTATTCAGCTGACAATTCTGGTGCCTGCACATAAGGGAGATGATATTTGAGGGAGGGTGGAGGAGAAAAAAAAATAATGCTAAAACTGCTTTGGTCATGGTAGTATAGAAGGGTGTGCTGGTGGGTGCATTTACGTGACTAAAGGAAGCTGGAGTAACAAGGAGTGTAAGGGTGGAGACTCTAAAGCACAGTTATTGTGTTTGGTTGTTTGCAGTCTTGTCCTTTTAGTACATTTTAGTAAGTAATGAGCAAATGTCATAATTCAACTTTCATATTTTAGATTAGCAAATGTACTTTGAAGGTTTTTGTTCTATTGAAACTTCCGCACCTATTGTATTGTCTAAAATTTGACACTTTGATCTTTCAAATGGCTGCCAATCTCAGATGCCTATTTCTGCCGTCTCCTGAAGCGAACCTGAATTTCTGGAAATCATTCCTCTTGTCTATTCAGAGGCATCCAATCCCCTTTTCCTGGGTATTGCTGTCTGTGGAAGAAGTTTCAGTCTTAAGCAGACGTGCTGCCTCTGGCAGTATCTGTCGCTAGCTCTGCTTTTGATGGTGCTTATTTCATCTTTCAGTAGCTTCATGACTACTCTATTTCCAGTGCCTGAGGTTTCTATTACGGAATTAATGCTACTGCCTTTTTGTCTGTTTGGAAAGTTCTGAAAAATTTTACTGTAAGTTACAAGTAGCTATCTATAGATATCTTTAATTGAGTTTAGTGAGGGGCGGATGTTCATTTGTCTTTGGAGATTCTTGTATTTCAGTCATTTGTTGGTTTCTCAAGCCAAGTCAAAATTTTTTCAAATACCTGAATTCTATTTTCTGACTTTTTTTTTTTTTTTTGACTACACCTGACAGCGGTTGGAAAGAGTTAGAGCAGTATGCTGTGGTGTTTGAGGTAGCCAGGAGCTCAGAGAGGTCTACGCAACTTGAAATACTGGTGAGGACTTGCAGCAGAAATCTGTGGAGATTATAACTAGAGAAATCAGTTCTTCAATTTTAGGTAGAAGACCCCATTAGGAAGAGTTTCTGAATACACTTTTTTCTTGCTCTCTGAGAACTGTTGAACATACGTTGCATCAATTCCTTTGACTTTTATTCTGCAGTTTATAATAAAAGAATTTGAGAGGTGAAAAAATACTTCTTTTTAAACAACCTAGAACATTGTGGCATATTTAAAAAAAGGAAAAAAGCCAGCTGCCCCCTTCTGAAGTTACGCCATCTATATCATCCTTCTGATAGACTCTTCTATCCTCTTTTTCCTGTCCAGGCAAATCCTCCTGTAAAGAAAGAAATATGTCTCTGTGCCTTGGAAGCAACCCACATCAAAAGAAGGATCTGATAGGCAGTCATTTCTGCTGTGTCTCCTAAAGCCTTTATCTCTTTTCCATGATTCTTCATATTTTAACAAATGGCCAATTTTTTTAAGCTGGCAGTTTCCTGCTTAACAGTTTCTTAACTGAAAGATTGAGCAGTGCTTAACAGAAGGTGAAGCAGAGGTGGTTTTTTTTTTTTTTCAATTATTTCCTTTCCAAGATAGAAGAAAGTAAAGTATACTGAAAATGCATTTTCTATTTTATATATAAATATATCCATGAAAAAATTCTGTCTAGGATTCTGCACCATACTGCAGTGAGGAGATGGTATGAAATATGCAATAATTTCCCCATGACTTAGGAACATTTTTGAATTTGATCTTTTCTTTTTTACATTCTTCTTGTCATTTTGTAGGAATTATTCCAGACTATTTTTCAGTATTCTAATTTCTGCTGTTTTTCCTTTTTCTGCTGTTTTTCCTTTTTCTGCTGTTTTTCCTTTTTCTGCTGTTTTTCCTTTTTCTGCTGTTTTTCCTTTTTCTGCTGTTTTTCCTTTTTCTGCTGTTTTTCCTTTTTCTGCTGTTTTTCCTTTTTCTGCTGTTTTTCCTTTTTCTGCTGTTTTTCCTTTTTCTGCTGTTTTTCCTTTTTCTGCTGTTTTTCCTTTTTCTGCTGTTTTTCCTTTTTCTGCTGTTTTTCCTTTTTCTGCTGTTTTTCCTTTTTCTGCTGTTTTTCCTTTTTCTGCTGTTTTTCCTTTTTCTGCTGTTTTTCCTTTTTCTGCTGTTTTTCCTTTTTCTGCTGTTTTTCCTTTTTCTTTGATTGGTAACCCAGTTTATGAAGGCTGCAGGTCAGGAAATGCACCCCTTACAAGACAGCATCTAAGCAGAGACTTAAATTCCATTGAAACTAATGCTACTGAACTTTTAAAGTCTACTAGATTTTTTTAAGTTTTCTTTTTTCAGAAATAGACATAACAGGTATATTAATAGATAATATAGGTACTTTCAGCATCTATTGCACTGCAAAGAACTTGGCAGTGTCAGAAATCGTAGAAAAAAAATCAGAAGCTGCTGAAGAAATGTCTATATTCTTCTGTTATTCATCCAAGAAAAGCAGTAGTTCTACAGTGGTGAATAATCTGCTTTATCAAATAATAGCCTATTGCTGCCAGGCGCTGGGTGCCTTTCATTTCCTACCGAAGCTGAGAGGGATTCAACATGTTGCAGGTCAGGCCGTGATGAATACTAACGTCTTAATATTTGATAGATCATTAGTATTTATTTGTAAAATGAAAGCAAAATTATTTCTGCCCTTTACAGCTAAGTCAGAAGGTTAATTCCATGTCCGTTTCTAATTCAGTGCATTAATTACTCCCTTTCTAATTATGTATAAGACAACAGTTCCTGTTCATTTTGGAGAAATTGAACTCTAGGTGAGGCTTTGCATATGCCACTTCCTGCTTGTTCGTAAGTGAATTCCAAACCATTGAACATGTCTCTGTGGGTTTTGCTTTTAAAAAATAAATCAGTGTTCCTGACTCCCCCGCCCAAATCAATGCGTATATTCTGCCGAAAACTAGTGGGATGTGATGTACTCTATGACACACGGAGGACGAGAAATAAGTTTATGCATAAGTTACTCAAGAATTAATATTCTTGGCACCTTTGAATGTGGCAAAACAAGTCAATGTGAAATTAATAATTGTTTTTGTTTCTGTTATAGCTACACTGTACACATCCTGTATTTTGCTGGGTATATTCCTGAACAGTAGCGTACCAATATTCTTTGAGCTCTTTGTGGAAACGGTCTACCCTGTTCCAGAAGGAATTACCTGCGGAGTCGTTACCTTTTTGAGTAACATATTTATGGGAGTGCTTTTGTTTTTCCTCACGTTTTACCATACAGGTAAGAAATATGAGCTACTTTGAAAATATAATTCTCCATGAAGACATACTCTTGTCAGTGAGGGGAAGATTTGCGCATAGAATTTCTTGTTAATAATCAAATGTATGAATGCCCCTCTATATCAGCGAGGGAAAAGAATACCTGTTCTTCTCCAGATGCATGCTAATAGCACAATAGAATGCTTTAGTGCAAGATATATAGTCAGATTCCACTTAGAGCTTGCTGTAGCCAGAAACCATCAAGCTACACACTGTCGTCATATTTCTATAAAGGCCTGGGTAATGCTGTGACCATTAGGAATGTTTGTATCTGTGCGCATCCAAAAGCACAATATAGCTCGTTCAGTCTTATGCTTCAGGGTATAAACTTATTGCCCAGGAGGGGCACAAAAGAACTGCCCTGTTCATGCTCAGCACCGTTCGATTGGCTGGGCATGTTGCTGAGGATGAGAGAGGGCATCGTTTTTGGATACTGCTTGGAGATGAAACATTCCTTTAAATAATCTAGTGGCCCTAAAGAGGCAGAAGAGCTTTTTGTTTGATGTTTTCATCAGCTTCTTATAGGGTTCTTTGCAGACTTTTTCTTCTCTCATGCAGTATTGCCTTCCTTGTAACTCCTGATCATAACTTTTGAATTGCTCTTTAATAGATTATAAAACATACTGAGACATACTCTATTATGACTGTAAACTGTAAATAAGAACCAATCCCAATCTCATTTTAAAATAAGTGATCTCTATTGATACTTTTTGAAGTTACAAATTTTGTTTTAAAATATTGTACCAAGAAGCAAACGTTTATCTAGATTACTGAATTTAAAACAAATGTTTTGCTTTGGAAGCATTAACAATTGATAACTTTCATCAGTGGTAATTGATGAAACTGGTAATTATCATCACTGCATCTAATTCTTACAATAGTGTCTCCCAGCCAAGGGGAGACTGACACATTTTAGAATGAATTGTGTTTAAAATTATGAGGGTTACAGGTGGGGGCAAATTTTCAACATTGTGTTTCTTTCTGACAAGTAATTTTATGCAGGATAATAATTATATTCTAAGTTCTGTCCTGGGAGCGTAAATTGACAGAGATATGAATTTTTGGATATTTCCACTGAACTCCATCATTGTAAAAACTGAATTCTGTCCCTTCTTCAGGCACTGTCACATTTAGTTTTAGCTTTTGAGAGAGTATTGTTTGGTTAATATTAATTGACATGAGCTATATTCATGTGTACTATTATTTGCAACATTTACAGTAGGGCCAAAAAGACTACATGGAATACTTTGGGGATATTTTCAGCATTTTTCAGAGTAACAGTCCAGTGTTCTAAATTGCTTAATAATTGAGTATTGTTACGTTATGCTGTTTTGATGGTCTGACTTCCTTCCCACTGAAAAATTATGGTAGAGTGAACTCATACCCTTATAAATAGGGTGTTTAAGGCCATTTTATTTTACCTCTAGTACTTCTTTCCATAGCAGGTATCAGTAAATGCAGGTGAGGATAAACCTAAAATCAGTATATCCATACACTTGGAATCTTTCCATCTTTCTTGAAGGAGGCGTGGGGGGAGACCAAAGTTGGGCTCAGGATGATCCGTTCTCAGTGGTGCAGTATCACAAATGAGATCAACAGTACAACTGCTTATGTGATCCCTAGAGGTGATCAATGCTAGCTGATGCTGTTCACTACTTTCTAAAAGATTTTTCTTTTATTAAAGTGGATAGAAAGTTAGATAGCCACCTTTCCTTTGATTCAAGTACATCCTCTAATGGCATTTAAGAAGCTTACAGGTAAACCAGAATTTGGTCAAATTCAGCTTGTTCCCTCAGTCTTGCCTTCTAGGCCAAGTAATCTTTTAATAGCTTTAATTCTGATTTCTCTATTTTTCTTCTCAAACTCTGATATATAATGTTCCAATTATGAAGGCTGTGAAGGAGGCAAGCCCTGGAAACTTTCCAGTGCATTGAAGATTTTGATCCAGCTAACTTGATTAAGAATGGGAAATTTAAGCCTTTCAGAAACCTTAGCTTAACCAGGCTAGTGTACTAGCCCTGTATTCTAAGACCAAAAGCTCAGTCTCTGGATATAGTTCCATTCTCCTTTTCTACAGTGAGTTCTAAATGAAAAACAAAAACAAATCAATGTTTGACTTCATGTGATCAATGTGCTACTGTGAAGCAGCAATGCTCTGTCAACTTCTGAAGTACAAAAAGACACGAAGGATTTACAAGTAAAATTTGGCCTTTGGGGATATTTGGGTTAAAGTATGTTTAATCCAATTAAGCAGGAGTGTTGTTTTATATTGAAAATAATAGTGGAACATTTGCTTATTGACTTCTGGGATTACATAGCATAGTCTTCTCCAAGCTAAGAAAGATTTTACTAAGGTTTTAATAAGATTACTACCTAAAAAAATCTGTAAATTGTTTGGGGAAGCGGTATTGTTGAATGTTGCTATTGTCAGGGGGTTGATTTCTTAGGCTTTCTGACTTCTGTCCTTTTCATTGCATGATATATATAGTGCTTTTTTTTTCTTTTAGCAACATGTATTACAGATTTAAGAAAATAGCATAATAATAGAAAAATAGAAAAAGTCTTTGCTACAATTAACTGAAACATTGAGGGAGAGTTTAGATTCTGTAAGATACTGAATAAGAGACCATGTCCAGCAAAAGCGATGCTTCGTCAGTAAATTATGATAGATTAAAAAATATGTATATATGTTATGGTGCACTTGTTTCTGAATAAAATTGCTAAATAGTAATCAAATATCAGGCTATAGAGAGGATTTACTGATTGTGGAACACACACTTTTAAGAGCAGTATGAGGAAAGTGTTCGGAAGTCATTTATTCTTCATTAGTGATGATAGATTCCCCCTCTGCCCATTGACATGCTCAGTAATGAGGATTAACGTTAGCTAGTGGCATTGGTTATATGTGTTTTAGAAGAAACCCCCCAAGAAGTCTCATAAACCATGTTAGCCATTTATCCATTGCAGAGCTGTCATAGTTTTGATAATAACGTAGCAATTTCCTTCAAACCCACCAGCCATGTTTCTACCTTTCGGTGTTTTAAGTTTTGATAGCTTTCAACATGGAGCATGTTCCATAAGTCTGTGATTGAATCTGTTTTCTGTTTTTACAGAGTTTTCCTGGTTCAACTGGTGCCTCCCAGGGTCGTGTTTGCTCAGTCTGCTCCTCATTCTGTGCTTCCGGGAATCCTACGACAGACTCTATCTCGATGTGGTTGTCTCTGTTTGATAACACAGAACTGGTGAAGGTTTAGAAGAGACCCAAAGTCGGTTTTACAGTCTGCACATCTGCCTGGATTTGCACAGCACAGTAGAGGAAAAACAAAGAAATTACAAGACTTAAGAGTGGCTTTATTAGCAAGAACAAAGGAAAGGTGTTTTTTTTTTATGTTCAAGATCACCTTGATTTGCGTTCATTACAGGCAGATAAATGTGGAACTTGAGTGGCGATGAAGATACCTGAAATGCACAAATAGAATATAGCTGATATACAAGTTCTAATGTCAGAACTTGGATCCTTTATTTAAAAGGCTATTCATGTAGCAGTGAAATGTACAATTTTTGTGTATGTATGTGAGTGTGCGCCAACTCAAGGTTGTATTAGGTGTCTGTACACACCGAGGTACCAGTAACCTTTGAGTCTTCTATCAGAATAGGAATAGTGAACAATCTTTAACAAAAGAAAAGAAAAAGTCTTTTAAAAAAAAAAATCTGTGTTTTAAATTACTAGTCCTTTATATAACGAATGTCCATTAAATAGTTAAGCTAAAATAATTTGGTGCTTGTACACTACATTTACATTCTAATAAAGTTATTTCTGATATAAGACACTGGTACCAGGGTTTTTAGCCATGCTAAATATCCCAAACAATCCTTGCAGTGTTGGTAGAGGTGTTTAATTATCACCCTGGAGCACGTATGTGGTGAATGATAGCTTTAGCTGCCACTAAAACCTGACTCGCCCAGATAGTAAGCAACCTCTGAAATACCACCATGGTTCTGCGTGTCCTGAGCAGAAGCCATCTGTAGTATCTCAGAAGTTGACTGCAGAGTCACGGTTGGTAAACGTTACTGTTTTAAAGGCCACCACTGTGTTACCCTTTCATCCCCCATCTCCAGTGCTACCTTTTTTTTTTTTTTTTTTTTTTTTGCCGTGAAGACCTGTTTATGCCACTAAATACTGTTGGTGTGGATGTTTGAATCCTGCTACTTCTCTTCTGATACTCCAAGGTATGCATGTTTTTAGGATTAGTTTACAACTGAGGGTGCCTAAACAATATAGTTTGTTAATCCAAGTCTTGAAAATCAGTTTTCTGAAAAATTTTTCTAGTTAATGAGGTGCCCCAGTGGCGAAATGACAATGAGTTTGACAGTGAGAAATGACTTACTAGCTTTGGCATAACATGGGAAATATAATGCCAACTCTTTTTATCAGTACTAATTTGTGGTCGTTCTCGCCCTTACTTGAACATAAATATTGAATACACTTTGAATAGTTTTTAATTCAATTTTAAACCTGCTAATAATTTCTTAATTATATTCTTATATTTCAGTTCGGCGTCATTCACGGTATTTCCATTTGTGTGTTCTGTGCTTTGTGTTAAGACTTGTGTGTGTGCATATTTATATCTATGTATTCACAAATAAAACTTATATATATTCTATATATATAAGTTATATAAGGGTATGTGATTACATAGGTTTATTTTAAGTAGTCATGACTCTGGGTGGTGGTATGCCACTGGTTGTAGCTAAACAAGTCACTGCTGTGAATGAAGTTGAATGCATACACTGTCAGTGACATGTTTTGTTGGTTTCTTCTCTTTTTCCATGGGGTGAATGCTTTCCTAACGTAGCTATTTTATAGCAAGAAATGCATGCACTTGTTTGAGGACGTTGGTTTGCGGTGAGCTGCTTCAGTAGAAGTTTGAATCAAACACCCTTTGCTCCTATGAGGGGCTCTTCTCTGCCACTTCTGAGTGACACGGTCTTTGTAAACTCGCTCCAATAAACCTGGGCTGAGCGCCACCTTTCAGACGCGTATCTATTCGTTCTATCTTCTCTCCTTTTGCAGAGAGAGTATGTCGTAACTATCTTCAACTCAGGAGTGTGCAGTAAAATAAAATAAGCTGTTCCGTGGCATCTACTTTTATGTTTTCAGAAGAATGGCTGTATTTGCTACAGTCAGGAACAGGAAATTGGCTTAGCTTATTGCCTGTATCAGCCCCTAAAAGATCTTTTCTCTCTTGAAACGGGCTCTTTGTAGACAATAGAACTAACTTATGTTGAGATAACTAAATCGATCTAACCAGCACATTCAAAAGTGCTGGCATCATCCTTTTATCGTTTTTCAGATGAATGGTATTAACTGTCCAACTTCTTTTTACTATGCTTTAGTGTCTGGAAGAGTTTCAGTATCCAGTAGCGGCTCCTACCTATTATCTTCTGCAAACCAGAACGGCTTGCCAAGGGTTTGATTGGAGTGACATTGTCATGGCAGGACTGCAAACTTGGATGGCTCTTCGGAGCTCTACTTCTGCAATTTACTGTAGCTATATTAAGATTAAAATTGCGCAGCTCAGGCACTGTCCTGAGTGACAGAGATTTCCGATCCTTTCACTGTCCTGAGTATTTTAAGATGGAGAAGCACTTGAGGCCATATTCAGACTATCACCTCCTGTTCCTTGTGCCAGAGAGCAGGGAGCAATTCAAAATATTTGTTAGGGCTGCCACATCCAGCCTCTCCTAGAGGGGCGAGCGTCTTTTTAGACCCCCTTAGTTGCTCAGTGCGAATTGCTCGCTGCTCTCCTGAGCTTAGATGCTTTGATAGGAGTTTCTGTGCCTGGGGCACTGTGCTGCATGGTCTGATTATGGCACTCAGTGCCTGTACACCCAAATGCCAAGAGCTGAGAAGTACTCTGCAGTCTGGCCTCAGCCTGAATTTCCAGGAAGTCTGATAGAAACCAGCCTGTGTAAAAACCAAGGGATTGCTCCCAAATTGCTTGAAGTTCTGCAGCAGTAGGGCACTGCTGTATTCCACATGTGCAGTTTTGGGTCTTGAAGATTTTATCAAATTATCAAGTCTTGACTGGGCACAGGAGGTAGGCAGTGCAAATGTACTTTCTGAGATCTCCAAAATAGCTGATCTACATCTTGCAGCAGCAGCATTTTTCTTTGGAGGAGCAGTGCATTTCATGTCAGTACCCTAGCTGAAGCCCATGGGAATATTGCTTGAACAAGAGTTATCAAATTGGTCCGCCCTTGTTCTGTTTTACCACGGCTAAGAGCTTTCAGGAGAATCACACTTTATTGAAAGTGAGAGTTTAAGACCAGAAGGAGAGCTCTAAGCAGTGCTAAGGCACTGTGACCCTAAATTGCTTTTCATCTGGACACCCAGAATAACAATTTTTCCAAGCGCTGCTAGAATATGTCCCTAGAATATGAGTGATTGTGCTGTGTTTTTTGAAAATGCAAGGAAAGGTGCTCTATAGTGACTACGCTCTCTTTAATAGTTGCTCATTTTAAGTGGTTTTATTCTGGGCTGCTCCTCAGGTTTCTGCTTGGCTCAGTAATAACTGCATTCATCTCCCAGTTCGATGGCTCTTTCTTCTCGCTAGCTCTTGAGCTGTGTTAACTTTCATGCTGCTAATGAGGAAGCTAAGGTTTAGAAGAGCTAGGCTCCGCTTAGGACTGTTTACTGTATCTCTTCGCTGCTTTTAACCATTAATTTCCCACAGTGGTCTTCCGCTCCCTTCATTCAGTGTGTGTGCAGGTACTGTGGAGAAGGACTTTTGAGTTCCCAAGTAGTTCAGTTTTAGATGGGCCAAACATCTATTGAATAAGCATAAAAGTAATGATTTTTAGAAAATCATGCAAGCAGGAGGAAGGTGCAGATGTAAAGGTTTTCACATATTCTTTGTACCATGTATGTGGCCAGATAATCTGTTATAAGAACAGTATAATTTGTCTGAAATTTATAAATTTGGCTCCTACACCCATGGAAGCCAAACTGGTATGTACCGTGCACTGTATATTCAGGTTTGCAGCGTGGCTGAGGTATTGCAAACTATCCGACAGCTCTAAAACGAGCAGGAGTGGGATGTCTTCGGTCTTTGAGTGATTTGGAAAATGCCAGGCTGCATCTGGGTTGGCATTCATAACTTCATGGAGCGATAGGCTGATGGATCAAATAAGGGAAGGAGAGGTTTCTATGGGGCGTTTAAACCCTGAAATACTGGGTCGAGTTGATCAAATCTGTCTAAAACTTGAAGTTGTTTGATGACAGACATGTAAAGGTTTGGCTTTTTCTACAGTAACGTTAATTAAACATAGCAAATGAGTGCATAGCCTTACGTTTTAAAAAAATTAAAAAGACATTGATTGATTCATATGCACATGTTGGCTGCTATTAGAAAGGAAAACGCTGTGCAGTGTGTGAGGTTTGACTAAAATATGAATGGGGATTATACAATTTACCCAGTGGATTTAATTGTCCCGTAATGCTATGACAGCAGGGGTTTCTTAATTGTTATTCATTTCTTATATTGGGTCACTTGAAAATGTGAATTAGTGTTTGTGGCAAAGATTTTGCAGGGGGTTTTTTATGTTTCATTAGGGATTTTTTTTTTTTTGACTGTAAGTATAGATCATTGTAATAATTTGGCAAGATAACTGCTACACTTGTATGAATCTGTATCTTGGTATTTGGTATCAGTTTGTATTCAATATCAGTATCACTATTCTCAGTGTTGTTAAGTGCCAAGCTTTGAGAGTAGCGGATATGATGTGTGTGAGAGAGACTAGGAGGGCATGAAGGAGGGTAAGGAGATAGCAGAAGTCACCGTCACGCAATCGCGTAGGGTTAAAAGCTGTCCCCCACTAAGGTGGACAGGAATTTCTGTGTGACCTGCTGTGGCTCTAGGACGTGGATCGCAGAGTCAAGGCTGTGGAGGAGGAGGTGGTGGGCAGGTGACGAAAATAAAGAAAAAAAAATTTGCTTCCTTCTGCTGAGTTTTCAGGCTTACTCCTTGGTGCATGTGTGTGTGAGAGAGAGAGCAAAAGTATCAACATACAATTCATTCATTTCTCTGCAGTTATTACTGATAAGACGTTGCTTGTAGGCGGTGTAGCAGTATCTGTCTTGCTCCATCGCGGAGTTTAATTTCAGACGGCCTAGGCCAATTTCAGTGGAGGCAGCAGCCACAGTAACATCGGAAGATGATGTCAATCTGCTTATAATTTTTACAGTTTATGCTTCCAGACGGATGAAACGGTAATAAATAGAGGAGCAAATCTGTCTCTGTCCAGAGTTTTGACAAGCAGAAGCAAAGGCTTGCACGCAGATGCACTGGCTCTGGCTTTTCACTCAGGATCGCGGTACGTCCCGAGCGGAGCGGCTCCCGCAGGCTGCGATCCCCGGCCGCTCGGCCGACGAGCCCCCGGGCAGGTCCCCGCAAACCCAGCACTGCGGTGGCCTGCTTAGTAACGACAAGTGGTCTCGCAGGAAGTGTTTGCGGCAGGACTGAGGGGAGAAGAGAGCAGTGCAGAGGAGGAGGTGGAAAGGACTGCAGCGAGGATCTCCATGAGACATTATGTTCTTGGGTGTTTGGGTTAGGTGTTTTCTGTGGCTATTTTAAGGGGATCTCATCTTCAGGGATACCTCCTCCCTCTGCCCATCTGTGAAACATCTCGTCTCAGGCCACTCAAAATCCAGGCTCCTAAAGTTAAATCCCTTTTGGAAGTTTTGGCTTTCTGTTTTCTTAAGCTAGGCCTGCACCTTATTCCCAACTCCAGTGTTTGGATGAGCATTTCACCCTCCCCTCCTGCCCCAGTGACGTGGTCTCCTGGCACTTCAGGAAATACATTGCTGAGCTTGTGGGTTAATTGCTGATGAGTCCTTGAGGTGTTTGTTTATTTGGCACAGTCTGACCTAGTAGACCATCTAGGAGAGCGGGTGGAAATTGTCTATCTTCCTGGTGTCTTCCAGCTGCTTTTTCTCAAATACCTTCTTTATGCTGCTTTTGTGGTTAGCACAAGGTGAATGAAGAGTGTTTTGTACTGTCTTAGATGGCTTAAAATCCTTCCTGATGTGCACAGCACATGCAAACTTTCTTGAGGATGAGATTCTTAACTTTGTTTTATGTCTGTGACACCATTTGTGCTGGAACAAATATTGTTTTGGCACTTAGCTTCAAGTGACACATGCAGAAGTACTTTAAAGTCGCTGGTTTTTCGAGGTGTGGCAGACGAGGAACGTGTGACTTGCTCTTTTCAATAAAAGCCTTTTCGTTCATGGTGACTCACACCGCTGGCTTTCCCCATGTGATTTCTTCACTTATATCCAGACAGATTTGTTACGCTCACTTTGTATTGCTACATGAAGAAAATACAATGAGCAAATAGGGTTTTTTGTTTTTCCTTTTTTTTTTTTTTTTTTTTTTATGGGGCACTTTTCCACTTCAGGCTCAGGCCACTTCTCTAGCTTTGCTACGTCTGTATGTAAAAGCCAAAAAAACCCCCTGTGTTTTCCGTTGCAGAGGTGATGTGTGGATTTGTGATAAAGCTGGGGCTGGTGGTGAGAGCCTGGGCTCTGCGTTGCTTTATTACAGAGCTGCTAATGCCTTAGGGAAAGGGTGCGTATGTGCGTGGTGCCCCGTTTTCCCCATGGGCAAACGGGGAAGGCTGCGTACCTGTGTGCCTCGCCGAGGCACGGTCACGCCGCGTCCGGGTCTGTGAAGTGCTCCGGGGTCCTTCGAGGGAAGGCTGCTGGGACAGGGCATAGCAAATGTCCTGTTTAGTTGGTGGTGCGTCCTCAGCCTTGAGACTGGTGGGAAACATGGATCCTGATTTTTGCTTTAGCAGATCAGAATAATCCTCACCAATGCGGCATGGGCGGCGCATACTGCACAGATGTAAAACCTCTCCCGGCAGGACAGGTTGGCTCAGCGTTAACGGACTGGTTGGAGGTGGGTGCAGCGTCCCGCAGCCGGGAGCCGGCGGAGAGCGCGGCCGTTTCCCCTGCTGGGAGCGGGTTTGGTTATTTAACTGTTGCTTGAATTTATTTTAAAATTCTCACTGCCCTTGGCTGTTACTGTGCGTGTTTTAATTGCCTGTGAGCCTTGCACAGGGCCCTCGTGTTTAAGCAGGTGGTGACTGCGGGTCCCCCCCTCCCCGGGGCCGCACTGGGCAGCGTTGGAGGAGAGGCCGAGGCGCCTCGAGCGCGACAGCAGCTCGTTTCGGTTCATGAGTCAGGTTGCCTGCGGTGTCCGCGGCGTCAAACCAACGCAGCAAAACGCCCTGGGCTCGCGCCAAGGCCGCGCGTCTTCTAGCTGCAAAACCTTTAGTCTCGGGGTTTGACGTAAAAGAGGTTTGACGTAAAAGTGTATTTTCCAAATTTGGCTACCTGCCCATGTGTGGGATCCTGTAAAAGTACTGATTAAAATCTCTTTTGCCTGCAAAGTTTAACATCTTCAACCGTATATTTTCGAAATCAGTATTTGATAAGGTGGAAAGACTGGCTTAGGGTTGGGGCTTTTTAAAATTATGTGAACTTATAGAAAAATAAGAGGGTTTTATGTGTTGGACTGCATCTTTGTAAACAATCCTCAAACTGTAAGACTGTTCAATTTTACTGGAGTTTATATGCATTTTACTTTTGTAAATTTTTAATGATTTGATAGAATTTTATTTTAGGGCAAATTCTACTTTTTGTATGCAAAACTCTGATGTGATGTATTTTTATTTTCCAGAAAATGATGTTTAAACCATGATATGCCTGTAGACCTAACACATCCTTCGTCTCATTTCGTTGGAAAACTGGAATCTTACCATGGAGCGCGTGCTCCTTGGCCTACTGGGTGTTGCACATTAAAAAGACGACTCATGTCTCTTGCCGTTATTATTCATTAATTGTGAGGGGGGGACAGGGTCACACTGACTCTGGGGTGCCAGCACCCCAGGAGCTGCTTGCTGGGTGGCATCCAGCTCCCGGCTCTGCAGCAACGGAGAGCAACCCCCCTTGTTATTTCATGATACGGCGACAGAGCTGGGCCCTACAATAAAAATTGGGGCTGCGAGTGTAGAGGTGACACCGAGGAGGCTGAGGTTACTGGTGGGCCAGGGAGGTGGGAGTTGAAGAGGAAAGGGCTTCTCGTCGGCTAATGGTAGAGGGGCTGCTGGAGATAGGTGCAAAAGGCGTCCTTGCACAATTGTGCTCAGCGAAGAGCAGCGTCTGTCCGTCCGTGGCAGCGCAGCCCTGCGGAGCACCCAGCGGGGACCCTGCCAGCCACAAGACTTGCTTTTCCTCAGCATCGTTTTGCTCACCTGGCTGCTTAAACAGCATGGGGTTGGGACTCACAAATGCATCCCCACCGTCGACTCCCAGTCTCAGCCAGATGGTGATACCTCCTTCCCATCACTTCATGTCGTCTGTCTACCTAAATTGCACCTTTTTTGTGGCCACTTTGTACCGTGTGTGCACACGTGGGATAAAGGGAGCCACCGACTCCACAGGTGTCTCAGCTCTATCGGGGCAGAAATCACAAATCATCCTTTGGGAAAGAGCGGTCTCTCTTGGTCTTTCCCTTTGCCACCTGCCCTTGAGACACGACTTGCTTTCTTTGTCCCTTTAGTCATTTTGTGGGGGTTCTTGGCTCCCTTACGAGATCTTTTTGCCTTTTAGACTCCGATTTCATATCCTGCCTTATCCATGTTCAAGTCTGCGAGTGCTGCAAGCCGCGTGGTTTTGCTGGCTGCTTCCATTACTATTTCAGTTTGCGCTTTCGGAAACGAGAGCCTTAATAACCTCGCTTGTGTTTATTCTTCATTTAATTGAGATAGACTCAACCTGGGATCTCTTGCTCCATGTTTATTTTCTGTGACCAGCTCTTCTATAATGTGTTGACTACTCACTAAAGCAAGTTTAAAATAGCCTCACGTCCCATTAGCGCTCTGGAGAAATCTGTCAACTCTCGGATCGTGGGATATCAGGGCCCCTCTATTCTTAGTAACAGTCACTTTCCAGGCTATATATGGGAGCTTAAGGCTCTTCTAATGATACAATTCCTGGTCATATTTATCTTTCATCGTTTATCTTTTATCAGACATCTCTCCCCATGGAGAAATTAGGGCCCAGGATCCACCTCTGATCCCTAATGTGGTTCTGGGCATCGGCTGACCCTTTTTTGCTCGACCTTCCTCAAAGAGCTTTTTAACCCCGTTTCTCTTTTATCTTTGTTGCTGTTTTAATCTACGATCTCCCTTATAAATGACGCTTTATTTTCTCTTTCCTGATCAGCACCTATCCTCAATGTGGGTCAGTGCCTCCGTCTGTCCGGCCACGGAGCCGGCCCTGCCGGTGCCGCCGCGGGGGGGGGACCCGCCCGGGGAAGTCACGGCAGAGCTTTTGCCCAGCCAGCAAGGTGCTCGCGCTCGCGGCACCCGCTGGCGTCAGTCGGTGCGTACATTGAATACAACAGGAAAATAATTTCCGCAGAGCTGCTACAAAGAAACGCATGAACAAAATAGGCTGTTGCTAAGAAATGGGAAAACAGCAAACAGCACCGTGGCTGCTGCCAGAGTAATAAAAGTACATCAGCGTTGCGCCTAGTCTCGCGTACCGATCTCTTGCTTACGACGGCAAATTAGGCACCGCAGAAATGGGAATAGCTTCTGCTGCGGCCTTTGATGCTTCGCATTGTGAAAATATCAAATGTTTCTGATCGCTGTTCGTTGCGCTGAAAGGGGAGCAGCCGCTCGCTGGCTCCATCGCTTCCAAGACCGCAACGGAAAGGCTGCGGGACGGTTCAAACCCAGCAGAAAGCGGCCGGGTTAGAGGGGTCGAACGCGGCCAGCGGGCGCAGCGGGGGCTGCCTGCCGCTCGGCAGGCTCCACGCTGGCTCCAGCTACACGGAAAATGAGAGCGAGTTTTCGCTTCCAGCTAACGGCCTGTTCACAGCCTCTGAAGTTTGATCCTGAAGAGTCCTCAATCTACGGAAAAGTTCGTTTGAAGTATGATAGCGGTAAGCAACAGCTCAAAAAGGAGAGACCTGCAGTTGGAAGGAGCTTTAAACGTTTGCTAGATACTCAAATTGCTTCAGTTAATTCAGTTCTTCCAGAGATACCCAACGCCGAGGCGACGGACAGCGGGGCCGGCAGCTGCGCGCCGGCGGTGCTTTACGGTCTTTGAAAACTAGCGCAAACTCACCTTACGTGAGCGCGGGTTGGTCAACGTAGGGGCGGTCGCAACAACGGAAGGATCGTAAAACTCTCGGTCGCCCTCTAAATCTTACCTGAAAGCGCAGCCTGGCAAAGCAGGAAAAAGCGCGCGTCCAGCCAGCCGCCACGTCCGCGCGCGGAGAGCCAGCGTTACCCTTTCCCTTCGCCACGCAGCGTTACCTTGGCCGCCTCCTCCCTCAGGAGTTAATACCTGTGTGCTCTGGGGCGATGGCAGGCGCCTGGACGGGCTGAAGCCCGGCAGAGGGCGGAGGGGGCCGT